TTCACGTGCCCGTACGTGAGCCCCAGGCTGCCCTAAGGAGTTGAGTTTAAAAACTTTTGGCCGCACGTGAGTAGGGAACAATCCTCCAAATTTTCAACTTTCTAGCTTTTCTCGTTCCCGAGTCATGAATTTTCCCGCCAAAATTTTCACGTGCCCGTTCCTGAGCCCTGGATGCTTCTAAACACCTGATTTTGCTCGCACATGAGTAGGGAACATTCCCTTAAAGTTTCAGCTTCCTAGCTTTGCCCGTTCCCGGGTTAGTGATTTCGCGCCAAAATTCCCATGTGCCCGTACGTGTGTCTGGATGCTTCTAAACACCTGATTTTGCTCGCACATGAGTAGGGAACATTCCCTTAAAGTTTCAGCTTCCTAGCTTTTCCCCGCTCCCGGATTAGTGATTTTCGCGTAAAAATTTTCACGTTCCCGTACGTGAGCTCCAAACGGCCCTAAGGAGCTGAGTTTGAAAACTTTTGGTCGTGCATGAGTATTGAACATTCCCCCAAAGTTTCAACTTTCTAGCTTTTCTTATTCTCGAGTTATGAATTTTCCCGCCAAAATTTCCATGTGCCCGTACGTAAGCCCCGGGCACTCCTGGGCAGCTGAATTTGAAATCTTTGGGTCGTATATGGGTGGGGAACATTCTCCCAAGGTTTCAGCTTTCTAGCTTTTCCCGTTCCCGGGTTAGTAATTCTCGCGCCAAAATTTCCACACGCTCGTATGTGGGCACAAGCGCTTCTAAACACCTGATCTTGGTCGTACATGAGTAGGAAACATCCCCCGAAAGTTTTAGCTTTCTAGCTTTTCCCATTCCCGGTTTAGTAGCTTTCGCACCAAAATTTTCACATGCCCATACATGGGCTCGGACGCCTCTAGACACCTGATTTTGCTCGTACGTGAGCAGGGGACATTTCCTTAAAGTTTCAGCTTTCTAGCTTTTCCCGTTCCTGGGTTAATAGTTTTCGCGCCAAAATTTTCACGTGCCATACGTAGGCTCGGGCGCTTCTAAACGCCTGATTTTGCTCGTATATGAGTGGGGAACATTCCCTTAAAGTTTCAGCTTTCTAGCTTTTCTCGCTCCTGGGTTAGTGTTTTTCGCGCCAAAATTTTCACGCGCTCGTAAGTAAGCTCGGGCGCTTCTAAACATCTGATTTTGCTCGGATATGAGTAGGGAACATTCCCTTAAAGTTTCAGCTTTCTAGCTTTCTCCGTTCCCGAGTTAGTGATTTTCGCGCCAAAATTTCCACGTGCGTGAGCCCCGGGCAGTCCTAGGCAGCTGGATTTGTAAAATTTTGGTTGCGCATGGGTAGGGAAT